TAAGGACTTAAAAAGATTAGAGGAATAGGCGCGATAAGATAGAAGTCAAAAGGACTTGACTATCAGTATCACGTAGGCAACGGCCTAAGAACTATTACCTCACTACGAATTAAGAATCATTACCTGTCGCACCCCAGTGCCCGGTAGGATTCTTAACAAAGAGTTTACTTGATAATAGAATTCAGAAAAATGAGTTTTATACAGTTGATGGTATCCGGCGACATATAAAGAATGCACCATCTCATCGCTCACCTTGCTTCTAGCTTGCCAAGCTTAGATGGAATTGGAAGGAAGTTTACAAGACAGTATACAAAGATGGTCACAAATGGTCTGATATATAAAACTACTATTAAAATGTATTTCTCCCTTAAATGGAATCACTCAAGCCTCTTATGATGAACTAGCATACTGACTTCCAACTAACTTGAATCTATAAAGAGTTGCCTGCGAGAGTTAAGTTGATTGTCTTTATCACATATGACGAGTCTACTTTTAATCCCAATAATAGAAGAAAGCATATTTGGATCCACAAGGATCCAAGTTCTTTATGTAAGAAAGGATAAGAATGAGAATCACATGTATCAGACTTCCTTTCACCAATAGGAAGACTGGGAGATGGTAGTGTCTGTGAAATAATAAAGTGCAGAGGTAATGTTTGATGGACAGGAGAGGATATGTTGGAGCAACTTATGAAGAAAGCAATTTTAGTATTTGAAAGATCATTCCCTGGCTGTCAAGGACTCTTTGCCTTTAACAATGCTAAAAGTTACCAAAAGCACATAGCAGATACATTGCACACTAGGAATATGAATCTTGCTCCAAGGGGAAAAAATACAGTGAGAATACCTAATGGTTAGTTCTTTAAAGCTGACAATTCTGGTTAGGTACAAAAGTAATCTATGATGTTGCCTGATAGACAACTAAAGAGATTGAGAATTGTTTTGCAAGAGTGTAGTCTTTGACTTCATGGATGTAAGTTTCGTACTCAATGCTCAATTCCAGGGGAGAGCCTAGAAACTAGTAAACTCAATCCAGTATGTAAATATACAACTAATATATCTTGTTGTATCTGTGCACTTTTGTCATCATAGCCAGGCCTTCTGTTACACATAGAAGCGTAATCGGTACGGCACATGACTAAATGCATAAGGTCACGTGTTCGACTCTGGGCCCCCACTGTAGTTATCGTGACTATATCATATTATCGCACGGAACGATAAGGCATCAATGCAGCCCACTCCACAGAGATACGAGGCATGCGACCTAGGGGTTTTTGCTGGATAACATAGAAGGAGCTCCGCTCTACAAGATAAGACTTAGTTGGTTCAGATTGGTCGGTTAGTTATAGAGCTATGACCTCTGCAAGTCTATATGCAATTACAAGAAGTAATATGCATTTCCCTTTAGCTCGCGTAAACTAGAGTCATCCAGAAGACCTAGTTACAATTGGTTAATAACTACTCACTGGTCAAGTTAGTTATCTTCGTCATACACTCTAAGCTATGCATATAGAAGAGTCATTGATAAGTCCTTTGATGGAGCTGATCACTCCACTCAGGAAGAGAGCGGGGAAGTTAGTTTTCAGGGTCAAACGGAGTTCGCACTCCAAAGACACTGAAGCGTTAGTATGGCAGGTACTTAGTCAGTAACGGATTGGATGTAGGCCGCGACCACCCAGACGTGGACTATAAATATCGAGGTACCTCCCTAGCTTTTAAGTCATCCTCCGTCTGCGCTACACCTCCGGCGATTGAAAACTCAACACCATGATTTCTATCGTGGCTTTCATCGTCCAGCACCACCACTCCCCCCCATCTCCCTCCATCTAGCCTCGGCTATAGGAGGTGGGCTCGCTTCCCCTCTCCCTTGGGGTCC